TGATCTCGTCGTTGCCTTCTCTGCAAGCTTTAATCGTCATTATATGATGATCTCACGTTCTGTACTACGTCGAGATAAATGCTTGAACACTAAATCAAAGCAATTTGATACGATATACCGATTTCTCATAGAAATAAAGACTAATATATATTTTATTTCTTGAACACTAAATCAAAGCAACACAACACGAATATATGAAGATAAATGCCTATAATTCGAGGGGTAGGCAATCTAAATCCAATAATTCGAGAGGTAAAAATTCTCTCTCAAATTCTAACCCTAAGTTTCAAAGACTTAATCTCATGCATATCTCACCCTTAACTTATTAGGCTCTATTTAATCTAAACAATAATAAATAATAAAAGAGTACATTGCCCTTAGGCATACAAAAGATAAAATTACCCTTAGGCTAGGCCATCTTTTATATGCACATTGCTCCCTCCTTCACTCAATTTTAAATACAAGTTATATATATAAAAAATTGTCAGTTTACTATATCTATCAACAACTCAGTGAATACTCTTATTTCTAAATTATAGTTTTAGTTGACAATTTATAAATTGAAATGATCATTTAACTATTTCTCTCTCTCTCTCTCTTCACACACACACACACATGGTCATCTCAACAACATTATCTAAAATTGTCACGACCCAACCTAGGACTTGAAATTAATCAAGGTGGGTACAGACAGTTAGTGAATTTTTTTTTATATTCATTTTCTATTACTAACATTTAACAAATGAAAAAGCAACTAGATATAAGAAAATTAAACTAAACTAGTTATAAATTTATCTCTGGTCTGATTGTTCATGTCTTCTATAAATATTTTCTTTTATGTTGCTCATCTTATAATCAATTAATTAGACCTGAAAAATTAGCTTAAAGTAATAATGAGTTAACCATAGTATATAAATACTCATACTCCTAAGCTATAGTAACATAATGAAAAAAATAATATGCATGTTAGTTAAACTTTATGTAATTCAATTTAAGAGCATTTGAAAGTTTGTATTATCTAATATGATTATTCAAGATACTTCTAAATATTAACTATGTCCTAGTATATCGTTTACATATCAATATCTTTTTAATTTATATACAGCTGGTGCAAGAACACTGTCTATACTTATATCAATGAAGATACATTGACATCAATATCCTTTTTCATTTACGTGAGCATGTACCTTAGTGTTCCTTGATTCAACTCGCAATTACGTAGATTGTTAAGCTCAGAAAGATGATAAAAAACTTGACTCGATTTATATTTAAACGGCTAGTGCGCAAAATAATATTTTATAAATTTTAGAATTTGATTTATATTTCCCACACCAGGGATTTTACGCAAGTATACGTATCGTTTTAAGTAACATGGGGTTTTCTTTTAAGACCCCAAGTATCGATCTCACAAAAAAGCGATATAAGATATCCCTTAGACTAATTCTAATCTAATACTATCAGATCTTAGTTTGGAATTTCGATTAAAGTGGTTTTTATAATAACTATTCCTAAATGAAAATATTAATATAAACATAACTTTCTAGATATAAAGATAAATTTTCTGGATAAATTTGTTTTGAGAATTTTGAGATAGTAAAGTCAACCCTTCGCGTGCAATGACCTGAAAATGTAAATGAATGAAATGCTTAAAATATAATGTTGTCAGTGACAAATAAGAGCATATCTTATTCTTTATCCCCTCTCGGTGCTTGCAAAGAACATTAACTAACTTAAGACCGATTCCTTAATATCTCGATTTCACATCAATGTTATCTAGTCTCTCACCTCTATATGCCCTTAGCCTATGCCATCATGATGGTCGAATCTCAGCGTCAGAGTTTTAAACCTTAAGCTAAATTGATAAGAATCTAGTTCGTCACTCTAGAACTAACCAATTTTACGCCCATCAAAATTTATCTCCCTATTTATTTTCACTCCCCCTTAGGTGATCACAATGACTGCCTAGAATGAAGTGTGGTATCCACTTGTTGGGTGAAATCATAGCCTTCCCAGGTCATTATGTTTCTCAACGAATTTTAACCTCACAATTTTAACCTCACAAGTGATCAAGTGATCAGTTTGCAAAGTTAATTAAGAGTCGGTGAAAATATCATCACATTAATAAAATAATAGAATTTTTAATCAAATTTAAATTCCTAAACATGTATCCAATTCATTGCAAAAGAAAAGTAAAATGAAGATAATGACATAAACAATAAAAAAAATGATAGATTATGTAATAAACTCAGTGTCAATAAGGAACATATGTCTACCTATTCTCTTTAAAGCATATAGATATGCTTAGTATTCTATTAGTTTTATGCAACTATCTGTCATGTAGAAGCTTCTAATAGAAACAAATCATCAATTATATTTCTTTAAAAGTTGCATTGCCGCTCATATTATTCCTCAATAACTAACCGGACAATGTGAGTGCACTCTAGTTGCAAGATCACCGCTCTCCCGAGTCTTAGTTTCACTTACAATAAATTTTAACATAACATATTGTCACTTAAGTTATGTCATTGAAGCGAAGGAGATATTACTCATCTCAATAAAATAAAAATAATTCTATCATAAAATAAATTTTCCTACACATGTCATTATTTCATATTAAAAGAAAAAAGTAAAGAAAATTACTTACAACAAAAAATTTCATTTAAATCAAAGAAAATCTGCTAGAAAGTGTTTACAACAATTACAAGATAATGAAGAACACAATACTTAGTTTTTTCCCTCTAAAAAAGACAAAAAATTTCTCCAACAAAGTCTCCTGCCGATCCATGCGCCGCTCATACTTCTTTTCTCATCTCTCAAAATCCCTCACCATTTTTTCTAGAAAATGAAGAAATCGACATCTCCATAAACTCACGCCAAACTCCTAAAATAGTTCCTAATTTTTTCTCTATACTCCCCTAATTACTCATTATGAGAGGCATCAGCCCCCCTATTTAAAAAGAAATAAAAACCCCTCATTTTTCTAAGAGACACATCTTTTCATCCAAGAAACACATACTTTCATTACAAGAGACACTTCTCTTCATTCAAGAGTTTTTCCAAGTCTCAAGATTCATTGAATCGCTCCATGGGGTGTGCAAGTTGTCTAGCAGCTTCCAATACATCGCAAAATGGCCCAGAATCGCCCAAAAGTTGTCCAATAACCGTCTCGGGCGCTATAGCGCCACTCTGCACGCAGCTTCACCGTTTAGTCTCGTTTCGCTCTGTTTCAACTCCGTTGCGCTCCAGATTGGTATACCTACAAGATAGACATGAGAACAATATTTCTTTAAAGTGTAATTTCATTGTAATTTCATTCAAAAACCATTCAAAAACATGGAATAAATATGAAAGAGATTAAGCATGGAAAGTCATATCAAAATACGATATATCAGAATTTTCTTCTTTGCTCAATTTGGCTTCAAATTATACCATTTTTGCTTCATTTTCACCAAAAGTTCATTTATTGTACCTAAAGATAAAAATATTCAAAATACATTTCTTTAAAGTGTACTATCATTAAAAATGTGCATGAAATGTACATTAAAAGCAGGTAATTTTTTGTTGGATCAATCCCACGCTAGTATCGTAAAGGGTTGAACTTCATCTTAGTTAATTATGCATATATAATGATCATCCGGTTCATATCATTCATTCGTGTATTTCATTCAATCCAATATTTTTTTGTATACATAATGTATAATAATTATCGTTAAAATGTAAAATCATCACAATAATATGATTAATAAAAGAGGAGTATATAAATTAGAATAAAATTTGACAATTAAATTTATAGGTAGTAGTAACTATGAATGCAATTGATTAATAAAAACAAAAATGCTACTGCATATTAAAAGTAAGAGTACTTCAATTTCATCGTATTGAATGATCCCTTTCAAATTCTTTATTTTTTTTTCACATCTTCACTTTTCTCATTTGATTATATTTCATAATATTCTAACAATAATATATAGCAATTTATAATTAAATTGACTATAAATGATTACCAAATAAATACTAAATTTTTCTCTTTATTTCTTCTTTTTTGCATGAACCAATGTTGATGTTATTGGTCCTTTAATTCAATTGATTGTTCAAATTAAATTACTGACCTTAATTCATAAGGTTTAATATCATGTAAATGGAAAGGATTGTCATATGACGACAGACATTGAGTACTATATGACTTGATCTAACAGCAGTTTTTTACACGTTGAGGACAATGTGTTTTTTTTTTGGAGAGGAGTATTGTTACGTCGGTGCCTAGCCCAAACGCAATTTTGTCGTCTTAGCCTAAGGGTTATTTAGTCTTTTATTATTCATTATTGTTTAATATAAGTATGACTAATATGATTAGGGTTGGGATTATGCATGAGATTGGGTCTTGAGTTTTAGGGTTAGAGATTGTGACAGATTTCCTACATCTAGAATTGTAGGATTTGGGAGACATCGCATACCTCATGAATTATAGGTGCTTATCTTGATCTATTCTCATTGTATTATTGGTGTTAATTGAAGAAAAAGAATTTGCTTTGCCCTAATTGTTGCGGATTTCCTGTCGGCTTCATGTCATGTTCTTTTAGGGAGGAAGAAAAGAGAAAATAATTTATCATAATTCTCCAATATTCACAAGACTATAAGCTTGGGGTCATAAATGAGAGCTTTCTAAGGATATATTCACGTTTTAGATGTTTAGTTTTGGTTTATCATTCATTTTTCTTAAATGTATTTTCTGCTTTTCATATTTTAGTTTGCCAATTCCTTGTTATTGCCTTATCTGTTTTCATTTCAAATTTTGGTTATAAAATTTTGCTTTTAACCACAAAAAAAAAAGAAAAAAAAAAGTGCAATTATTCATGCATGTATGTTAACTATTGATAATTTTTGCGCCCAATAAGTTATTAGCAATCATAACTGTTATCTATTACGGATAGTTTCAATCAGTTTGTTGCATATAGCATTTTAGTTCAACTGTAAATTATATAAAGTGATCCCTTGTATAGTCTCCACAGGAATTAACTGATATGGCTCGGAAATTTTACGATGAAGTTGCTCTCTCCAAGCTGGTAAATTAAAACTTTTTTCTTAATTATCAATACTATTGTTTCATAATGGCAACTATTATGCCTAATATTCCCATCAATGCCAATATGGTTCATGTTTTAGGTCGCAGATTTTGGTTCATTGGAGCTTTCACCTGTTGATGGTCGGACACTGACTGATTTCATGCACACTAGAGGCCTGAGGATGCGATCTTTAGGTCAAATTGTAAGTTCATCTTTTTTCTTTTAGCACTTCTGCTGCTACATGTGATAGGCGGAGCATTTAGGCAGAACATAGCTTGATTTGCTTGGTGTTCAATCCCTGCAGTTCATATGTGTTTCTTAGCAAACATACAATCAGTGGATTCCTTGTACTTTTTACAGCCTTTGCCATAATCACCACTTCCATTTTCTTTTTCCCAACCATATGATATTGACTTTATAAATGCCATTTCCATCCATTCTTGTTGAGGGTTGCATAAAATGTTAATATCACAAATTCTTATAAATTTGTAGCCATGCTATTGCTTCCATTTCATCTCCAAAATTATTTGTCTAATATTTTTTTGGATAATGTTTTCAACACAAAGATATCTAATGCCACATTTATATGCAAGTTTATAGTTCATATATGCCTTGGGACATTACAAAGTTACTATCAAGCTCATCCATCAAATGCTTGAATGCAGCTGTTCTACATTATTGAGCAGTTTGGTGTCCCTGACTTGGTGCATTACGGTGCTTCAATGCCTAGAACAATAAAGTTAACTTTGTGCTTAGATCTATGGCGGTATTAAAGAAAGAGATAAAGAAAGGGAAGAAATAACGCTCCAACTATCTACTTGAATTTTGGAAAGTCCATAGAATAAAGGTTTTGTCGAATCTTCAATGTTACCTAAGGAGCTTGAGTTTGTTTGCTTGGGGAAATGTGTGAAATAAGTGAAATAATGAGATTTGATGTTGGGATGATGAATTTTAATTAGCCTTTTTTCTAATCCATATACTAGTGAACTTTACTTCAAGTTATGATAATATAACCCTTTTTTTTAATCCTAGATGAAGGAATTGTGTAGTGTTTATAAGAACACCTTAATTGGACTTGCGGCAAATAAATCTAGAAAGAATATATTTTGGATTTGGCTTTCATTGGATAGGGTGAATGGGTAAGTGTGATCTGAATTTATCATTTAAATTGGTTCTACTTTCCCGTGTTGAGTGGAGGAAAAGTTACAAATAGAATTGATCTTCTTTTACATTGTTATTTTAGCTAGCTTTAATTTGCATATACTTATACATTGTTACTTGTATACATCTATACATGTCAAATTAATAATTTGCCATAGAAGAATTTTTTTTATTCAAAATGAATTAGTTTGTTTTACTGATATTTTAACTAGATTAAACCAGCCATGGCCAGACTTGGCTTGTCTCAAGATTTGATCAAATAACTTTGAGCTGATTTTCTGACAGAGTCAGTTTGGATTGAGATCGGATCGTTAACTGCTCTACTAGTTACTTTTTTCATATTCAATCTGTGATAGTAACTACTATATTTGGATGGAAAATTGAGTTTTTGTAGACGTTATTGTGCATTTTTTCTGTCTTTTAATTAATTCAACAAGCTGTCAATTATAGTTAAACAGTTGCACAATGGTTATTTTAACACTGATTATTTCTTAAATCATCAGCACCTTTTTTCTCAACCAAATTTCAGCTTTGAATATTTTTTTGCAATTCCTGATTTTTAAGAAAAAAATTTATGTCCGGACTCCTAATGTAGCTTTATGTGCAGACTCCAATAATATGTTGCCACACGTGCTACATTGCGGAGGTTATTTTGGAGTTATTGAAGTAGAATCGCAGAAGTTATTTCAAGGCTATTTCGGGATTATTTCGTGGTTATTGAAGAGAAATTCATATATTCTACTTCAATAACTTAGAAATAATCCAGAAAAAAAACCCCAAAATAACCTCCGAGGTTCCACTTCAATAACTTCGAAATAACACTACGGAGATTATTTCAGGGTTATTGAAGTGGAATATATGAGATTCTTTTCAATAACTCTGAAATACCCAAAAATAACCCCGAAATAACCTCCATGGTGTTATTTTGGGGAGGTTCTTTCGGGGTTATTAAAGTGAAACCGCGTAGGTTATTTCAAGGTTATTGCGGAGTCTGCGGTTCCACTTTAATATTATTTAGGTGGGTCGGATATAGGACGCATGACGGTATATTACTGAGAGTCCACACATAGAGCTACGTCAGGAGTTCAGACAAAAATAATTTCCTATTATTAAATAACATTTTGCAGTTAGCCTACCCCTTTTCCTTCCACTTCCTTTCTCTACTAATTCTATCTTGACCCTGATGCTTTTTTCTTATGTTGCCCAAACCATCTATATCTTTTTTATTTTATTCTTCAATAGTGCTACTTCCGGCTCTCTCTCCAGCATAATCAATTTTAGCTGTCTTTTCTATATTTTTCACCAATTCATATAACATTCTCATATTTCATTATTGAAGTGTTTTTTAGTAATTTTTTAATTATTCAAAACTCACATATTATATCGGTGGAATTTTGGTTATTTATCATGTAGTGTCTTAAGGTATTCTATTTTTACATAGTACTCTGGGTACCATATAGGTTTTTTACCATACCAGTTGTCACTTCTTCTTTGTTCCCATCTGTTGTATGATAAAATCAAGGTAAGTAAACTATCAATCTCACTGCTAAAAGTTTTACATGTAATCACTGAAAATTAAACTTAACTATTTGTCTTTTCAGGTAAAGCTGTCAGAGAAGCTGTCACATGTGCAATCCCTTTGTATTCACGAGATGATTGTAAGAGCTTTCAAGCACATTTTGCGAGCTGTAATTGCTGCTGCTTATGATATTGGGGACTTGGCTTTGTTGATAGCTGAAACTCTTAACTTGCTTCTTGGCATTCCTCAAACTGGAGATATGGCTGATGCTCCTAGAGTCCATACTATTGTCTTGAAATGGTTAGAAGTGTTCTTGAAGAAAAGGTATGGATGGGAACTTAGGGCAGAAAATTATCATGATGTGAGGAAGTATGCTATTTTAAGGGGACTATGTCATAAGGTGAAGAATGCCATTGCCTTGTTTGAATTGGGTGTTACATCTGTAATCATCACCTGAACTGGAGTAATTTCTCTTTTTTAGGTGGGCATTGAAGTTGCACCTCGAGACTTCGACATCAATTGCTTTCTGCCCTTTCACAAACTAGATATAGTTAGCTTGGTGCCTGTTCATAAGGTAATGAGAATTTTCACTTATTTTGGAGTTTTGATTTTGAATTGTGCATTAATAATAACTCCAATGCAATTATTTTTTGCAGCAAGTTGCATGCTCATCGGCAGATGGGCGCCAGCTATTGGAATCATCAAAAACAGCCCTTGATAAGGGCAAACTTGAAGATGCTGTCAGCTATGGAACAAAGGCATTTTAAAATCGAATATCAAACTTGTCTTTCTTATTTTATATTTATTTTTTATTTATTTTGTACATCATTGCAGGCTTTGGCAAAGTTGATAGCAGTATGCGGTCCATATCATCGGATGACAGCTGGAGCCTACAGCCTTCTTGCTGTTGTTCTCTACCACACCGGTGATTTCAATCAGGTAGGAACAAGTTCGTTGATAAGGATGTATCTGCCATCTCCTGGCATCTCCATGAGTAGTTTTAAAGAAGCATGAATCCCTGTACTGGTTTAGGTTGATAATCCGAAAGTTATAGGAAGTAATTATCTCAATTAAAATTTAGATGGTTATAAGGTATATGCAATGCTATTGTCTTAAACCATTTGGAAGATTCATGTTCTTTTTTCTAGTTTCCTCATTAAGTTTTTGTTGAATGGAAAGAGGAGCAAACACATATTAACAATAATGCTAAGGAGGAAATTACCCATGTAAGATAAGGTCAACACACAATGTTTCTTTCCTATGTTTAATATTAATCATGTCATGCTAGGAGAGTTATTATTACTAGCATGTATGATGTATATAATGCCAAGTTTAGATGATACTAACAGAAACTTCTCTCATTCAAAAAATTTTGTATCAAGGCACGTTCAAAAAATTTTGTATCAAGGCACGTTCAAAAAATAAATCTTTTAATCATGTTTCACGACTGTTTGGAAAGAATCACAATGTATTTGCTTAGTTTGTAAAGATCTAAGTAATGTAGCTGTGTATTATCAAACGTTAAACTCCTGTGAAATTGCTCAAATGTTTTACAGATTTTGATATTCTTTCTCCTCTCTGGCAGCATTTTTAGAATCGTCGAGCTTATACAAATCATTTGGGTTTGACTTTGTAAATACTCCTGAGCTTTTATTTTTGTTAAGAGTTTTTTTTTTTTAAATTTCAGTTGAACTTTATTAGATTTCCTTGAACTTCTAACTTACTAGGTTTGGTTTAAACCTTTTTCCTTTCTAAACCATGTACAAATTTTGTATTTATGACCTTAGGAGTGCCCCTACTCGCATGCCAAAATCATCGCATTTTTCCATGACTGCGCTATCGTTCCTAAGTGCTCATTCCATGCAATCTATAATAAACACTTTGCACTTTATCTTTTTTTGTTTTTATCATATGTTGTAAGCATGCTTAATCATTTTATTTTTTGACTTATGTTTTGGTCTTTTTATTTCCTCCTGAAAGCTTCATTGGTGAAGCATAGTTGATTTTACTGCTCTCTATAAAATTTCCTTCTAGTTACAATGACAACTTAGTAGTTTAGTATACTTTTCTAATTTTTCTGTGTATTTATAGTCCCATTAATTTGTTCCTTATCTATTCCCTCAGTTTTTATGTATAGATATCTAATCAGGCTTAGAGATCACTTTATCTTAGATTCATCATCTTATAACTTATGTAGCTGACATGGCACATCACATAGTTTTGTCCTTAATTGCCTGAGCTATTCTCTCCATGTTTTAAACTATTCTCCACTTTATTTTTGTAATTGAAGTTTTAGGCTTCTTTTTTTCTTTGACAAGAGTTACTATCAGAGTTTCTATCCATGTTAGGCCACAATTTATCAACAAAAGGCATTGGATATTAACGAGAGAGAGCTAGGACTGGATCACCCTGATACTATGAAGAGTTATGGTGACTTGGCTGTTTTCTATTACAGGCTTCAGCATACAGAACTTGCTCTGAAGTAAGCTTATTTCTCCATATTTCTTATACATAAATAACTTTTTTCCAAATATCCGATTTCATTGATCTTCTTCAGCTAAATCAAAATGAATTCCAAAATAAACACTTTGCCATTAGATTTGTGTTAATTGTATATCTTCCGGAGAAAGTTAAGTTCATATTTTTTTATGATATATAAGTAGATGCATTGATTATTTTTCTTTTATTATTAAAATTGAAAACATGTCTTTCATGATATGATTGGCCATGTTTTCTGGTCATAACTGATCAGTGCGTACGGAGGGTCCTTAAAACATAATAAAATAAGTAAGATAAAATTGAATTGCTTAGGTGCACACTGCTGATTACTCCTTACATTTTTTTTTTGTCTTTTTAAATTATTATTCCAAAAGATGATTTCATTTCAATGTGATATTTTACTCCTTTGATAGAAAGCATTTTGTCATGATTTTTTCGACAAGTTTTACGCTGGCTGTCGACTACCTAACGCAACCCTCCACTTTTCTCATCCGGGCTTGGGACCGGCAACGGCAGTGTTAAGCATGCCAAATATACTGAAAATATTTTTCTTTATAAAATTTGCTACCATTTGAGCCTCACAATTTGGAATAGCTATTGCCTCAATTCATTTTGAGACACAGTCCACAACTATTAAAATATATAAGTTTTCAAAAGATGATGATGATCCTATAAAATCTAAACCCCATACATCAAAGATTTCAATTTCTAACATAAAATTTAGGGGCATTTTATCTCTCTTAGATATGTTGCCTACTCTTTGACTTCTATTACATGTTTATATATATATATATATATTTATAACTCTAAATAAAGTAGACCAATAAAATCCAGATTGCTTAGACTGAAAGGAAAATTTTATAAGATGGTGGTGAGACCTGCAATGCTCTATGGCGCTGAATGTTGGCCTTTAAAAGAGAAGCATAATAATAAGTTAAGTGTTGCCGAGATGAGAATGATTAGGTGGATGAGTGGCTTTACACTTAGAGACAAAATGCGGAATGAATATATTCGTGATAGGGTTGGTGTAGCTCCTGTGACAGACAAAATTAGAGAAAGTCGTCTTAGATGGTTTGGTCATATTAAACGTCGACCATTAGATGATCCGATTAGGAGAGTAGATGTTTTAGATTTGACTTGTGTTAAGAAAGGCAGAGGTAGACCTAGGAAGACTTGGGCTTATTGTATTAAAAATGATCTTAATTTACTAGAACTAAATGAAAATATGACACTAAATAGGACGCAATGGAGAAAAAGGATTCATGTAGCCGACCCCACGTAGTGGGATTAAGGCTTTGTTGTTGTTGTTGATAGAAAGCATTTTGCATGTAGAAGGGAGTGAGATTTAAGCCTAGAAGTTGGAAAAATCTTCAAAGCAGAAACTTCATTCATCTTTGAGTGGTTTTTGAAAATTATGAAAATCATTGTCTTCGTGTTAGCTGCTCTTTAAAATCTTGTATTTTGTGGGCATGTCTTTGTTTTCTTCAAAAAATGCTTATATGGGGTAATTCTGTTGCAATTTCTATGATTTTTGTTTTTGCATTAAAAAGACATTTTTTTCTTATGCTTCAGAGTTCAGACACAAATGGCATTTCTATTTTTCATGAATTCTTTTTGAGTTTCATCTGCTTTTATTTACTATAATATTTTTAAGTTAAGTTCCACTGCAGTCTACATGATTTTCTGTGGATGGTCATCAGTAATGGACTTTCATGATTAAATATTCCCAATTTTTACTGTTAACATCTCGTATTATTTGTTCATCCTATGAGCTATACGCTTAAGTATCTGCCCTCTAGATTTCATCAGACAATTCTATAAAGTTCTCAAAAGCTAGATTTTATGATAACCAGGTATGTGAAGCGTGCGTTGTATCTTCTTCATCTCACTTGTGGCTCTTCCCACCCAAACACAGCTGCTACTTATATCAATGTTGCAATGATGGAGGAAGGCCTAGGAAATGTACATGTTGCACTTCGGTATCTCCATAAAGCTTTAAAATGCAACCAGAGGTTACTTGGTCCTGATCACATTCAGGTATGCTACAGTTCATGATCTGAACTTTGTTGGCTTATTTTTCATGTTTAATTTTACAAGATTCAGAACTCAGATCATGATGCGATAATGCTCATCCTTTCTGAAAGTTTTTTTTCCTTTTCTGTGGAACCCTGCACCTCAACTACTGGTGGAACAAATTTACAATTCCCTCACTGTTTTATTTCTTAATTTTTTGAGCAGCTTAAAGCATAAATTAATATTATATCTACGCTTCAACCTCTACATGTATTACCGATGCTAGTCCATTTTATCAATTTTTTAGGGATGTTTTTCTATTTCGTTGTGTTGCTGTTTTATTCAATGTGGCTTAGAATTTTGCCATTTGCTTTTTTAGACAGCGGCAAGTTACCATGCTATAGCCATTGCACTCTCCCTAATGGAAGCATATCAACTGAGTGTTCAGCATGAACAAACAACATTGCAAATTCTTCGAGCAAAGCTTGGACCTGATGACTTAAGAACTCAGGCAATTCCCATTTAAATTTTCCTAAGAAAGCTGTTAAAGGATAATTTCTAATGCCCATTGGTAAATTTCTTCTAATCTTTTGGCCACTGGATCTTTTGTAGGATACTGCTGCCTGGCTTGAGTATTTTGAATCCAAGGCTTTTGAGCAACAAGAAGCTGCACGCAATGGCACCAAGAAACCCGATGCATCTATTGCCAGTAAAGGCCACCTAAGGTTTATGCACAGAACTCACTGTTTTTACCGATTAGATGATGCATACTTTATTTCTCATACCAAACCTTTTATTTATTTATTTTGAAGTCTAAGGTTGGGATGTCCAACAGATTTGATTGGCTAACTGCTCTGTATTTATTATTATTTTTTTCCTGCATTCTGCAATTTACAATTTTCTCTTTGGCAGTGTGTCTGACCTTCTTGATTATATAAATCCCAGTCAAGAAATCAGGGGAAGGGATGCTGAATCTATAAGGAAGAAAAGCTTAAGTTGGAAGGTAACTATTTCATTTTGTTTACATTAACTGTCAGAAATTATTCAATAAAACTTTTAATAATTCTAGAAGCTGATTTCAGAAGTTGTGTAAGTGAATAAGTTCTTATTAAGTCAGATAAAAAGGCTACTCCAAGTAGCCAGGATGCTTGGAAATATCAATGGTATACACTCGTTTTTATTAATCTGAAATGAATGCCCATTTTATTCTGATTTAGGTGAAAAACCGTTCCTGCCAGAACTTGAATTTACCAGATTTGGATGGATATTGTATGTCTTCTGACTCATCAAATAAAGATCAAGATCTAGTAAACGAAATCGCAGATAGAGAGGCTGAGAAAAATGTTCCTTCTATATGCTCTGAGCATGAACATGAAGCGTCAGTGTTGGAAGAGGACATTACAGCTTTCCAGCAGTCTAATGTTGCTGTTGAGGAACAGCCTGCCCCTGCTGATAAAATTCAAACTGAAGAAAGTATGGAAGTTGAAGAGGGTTGGCAACCTGTTCAATGGCAAAGGTCAATAGGATCAGGCAGACAGAGACTCAAACAGCGTGCTCCAGTTAGTGGGATACCAAATAACTATAAAAAAGCTGTTCCGTTCGAAACTGCTCATACCAAACCAAGATATTCGCATTCTGGTAGCCGCTATTATGTATTAAAGAAGAGAACTTTAGTCAGTGGAAGTTGCACTGATTATTACCACTCAAAGAGTCAGTCACCGGGTAATAGATTTGGCCGTAAATTGTACAAGGCTGTAGCATATAGAATAAAGTCAACGTCATCTAGCATCTCCGAAACAACGAATAGTGCTAAAATTCTCAATGAGAAAACAAACTCACTGTTGGACGATGAAAACAATATGGTATCTGTTGATATGAATGGTCAGAGGAATCTGATTGGTGAGGTTTCAGAGTCACAGAATGATGGGATGATTAGTCTTGGAACCTCTCCATCTTATAAGGATGTGGCTTTGGCACCCCCAGGGACAATTGCTAAAATTCAAATCAGGAAATACCATAACCAGAAGTCACCAACAAGAGAAAATGAACCAGAGGTAAACAAGCTTTTACCAACAGAGAGTCCTGTTGAAGAGTCCCGTTTGCTGGTTGAGTTGACAAACATAAGCCAAGAGAAAGAACTACTGCGCAAGTCCGTGCTTGGTAGTACTCCAATTGACTCAAAGAGCCTCACTGAAGAGAAAGAGGATAGTACAAAAGGTCAGTTGCTTACCTTAGAGAATGAGATGGAAGTTACAAATATAGAAGAAAAATCCATGAACAATGGAGACAGAGAAAGCAAATCTGCAATGTCTGCAGATGAAGAAGTGGCTTCATCTGGGATCATGTTCACTGAGGTTGTTCCTGAATCTGTTATTTCTAGTGAGGAAGCTCCGGAGCTGATATGCAGGAGTGTTCACAACATTAGTAACGCATCTTCAGATGTTGATAACTGTGAATTATCTGAGGTCTCAGTTTCCGATGAGGCGACAGAAAAATGTCCCATGGATGTGCTATCTAATAGCATTGAGCCAAATACGAGCCTGGTTACTAATTGTCATGAGGATTTTTCAAATGTCAGTTCTTCTAGTAAAGCTGATAGTCATGATGACAAGGAAAGGTTTTCATTGAATATAGGTGATGCAAGAGACTTGCCTAACAAGAAAATGTCTGCCTTGTCTGCCTCTGCGGAACCCTTCAATCCATCTCCCACAATTGTAATTAATCCTGTTCCTATGAATGTTAGCCTCTCCTCCAGTACCATGGCAGCTGTAAAACCATGGTCATTGAATTCCACCCTTCATCCAGGGCCACCCCCAATAATGGCCACAACACCTGCTATCTGTGGTTCTCATCACCCTTATTATCATCCAGCTCTTCGTTCCCCTGGTATCATAGCTCCTTTATCATTTATGCATCCTCCATTTAGTCCACCATATAGTCCGTCATATGGTCGGCCTCCTGTACCTAGCAGCACATTTGGTATGAACAATAATGTGCATCATCCAAACCATTTTCCTTGGCACTGTAATATGAATCCAAGTGCATCTGAGTTCATGCCAGGAACGCTGTTACCTGGCTGTCATCCTGTGGATTTCCCTGTCACATCTACTGTCATCAATCCTATTTTTGAAGCCACATTAGAAATAATTGATCAGCCTGATAATGCTAATTTTCAGAATTCATCACCTCTAGTGGACAGCAATGTTGGAGAGACAAACCAGATAGAACTAGCTGATGAAACAACAGGTCCACTGAGTGACATTGTGGTCCCACAGGATTTAGCAGCAGTGAAACAAGAATCTGTGGAATCTCATGGACCTTCTGACACTATAACAGAGCCAAAGCCTAAGGAATCTTTGAAAGAACATACTGATTCTATCTGTGAGAAACATTGTAATAAAAAATATGAGCGTGATGGTAGCTTTAGCATATTTATTAAAGGAAGAAATCGTAGAAAGCAATCTCTGAGATTGCCTATTAGTTTGCTTAATAAGCCATATAGTTCACGGTCATTTAAGTGTATTTATAACCGAGTAGTTAGAGGAAGTTATGCGGCTAGACCGTCTGGGGTATCTCCTAGTGAGGTTCGTAGGCCTGGCATCTCATGAGCCATGTTACTGTCTACAGAAGAAGGATATGTGGAAAATATTATTCTCATTTGGCAGTTGGCAGCTGGCAGCTGGCAGCTTTACAATTGACGCTTATTTTTAATTTCCTCTGTACTTCTGTTTCTTCCCAGCATATTTTTACAAATTTGGACGTGAGATCTGAATGAGCTTCCGGGAAAGAGCACAGGTGAGTCGCTATCACTGTCTTGAACAAGTCCTATTTGGCATAAATGAATTTCATTTTCTTCCTTTAGACTTATATTTCTTATTTATAAAAAGGGCCCAATTAGTTCTCAGGTATATGAGATAGAGTGTTGAACTTTGTGTAGCTTCCTGTGCCTTAGCTGAAGCACATTAATTTTGCATCATTTTTGTTATAAAATTTTTTCCTTGGTTCAACGTATGGGACTGACTTTCTGATATGTGTATATTTTGGTGGATGATCATGTTATCTATAAATGTTTTAAATTTGATGGAAACAGGGTTTGATTGATTGGGATTTATCAGGACGTGGATTAGAACATTTGGCTGATGATGTGCAGGAGCCATAAGGTTTTATATTTAGCATGATATAAAGAACATAAAGTAATGGGAGCTTAATTAAAAATTTTTACTCTAGTAGATTTGATTACGAGAGAATTGATGATTGCAATGAAGTTATAAATATGAATGTGAATAGTATATAATCTTGTAATAGTAAATACAGTAACTAAGGATTGGAGCACTGAATTTCTTTTTAAGGTATATCGAGTCAAATGAAGACCCTTTATGGAGGTTAATATTGTCATGCGACTTCAGGATAAAATTTGATAACAATATGAAATGGTTGTTATGGAGAATGGATGTTTAACTTCACGAGTAAATGAAACAATTAATGAAAATAATTTTCCTAAGATAAGGTGGTGCAGCTTAAAGGTGAGAAGTGTTTAATCTTGAAAGTTAGGTTATTAGAAGAGCTAGATTATAACTTGAAAGTTGTACCAAAATCATTTCGGATATGATCGTTGTTGGTTGCATGGACAAAACTTCCTTGGAAAATTTCGGAAGTTTTTGAAATAAATCATTCATTAATAAGAGAGTTTGTGGTGGGAATGAGGAGGTCAAAAGGGTACTAAGGCATAAAAGTATGTTTTTAAAGAATGGTTTAAGATAAGCACCAGTGAAACTAAAATTAATTATAAGAAAGCTAGAAGTGATGTGAAAAACATATTAACTAAAGCCAATACTCTTACAGTTAAAAGATTTATGTGCTAGAGTTTATCTCAAAAAAGGAAAAAAATATATAGAAAATATAATATAAATGAAAGGATATTTAGAAATTTACAAGTTAGTGTGTTGAAAGTTAAGATAATAAGATCTTAATCAAAGTAGAATACATCACAAAGAGATGATAATTCTGTTTTGAGAAATAAATAAATAAGCGTTTTAAGGAATTCAGTTTTTTAGAAGAGTACAATGAGTGTAATCAAGAATTATGTGATCCATAAGCAATACATTCAAACGATATACCTAGTATGATTTAGGAGTTACATAATATATTGGAGTTTTGTTCATATTTGATAGAATCTTAAAGCTAGAGCATGCTACTAGTTTGAGATGGAGCATCTTGTGCAAATATTTAGGCATAAAACATATTCCTGATGTGGAAGTACTGTTAGGTGGCAATTGGTAGCATCCAGTGCTAATGTTGATTGTAGATTTATATTCCACTGTGCATTCTTTTTTTCATGAATAATGATCGGAGACTCATTTATCTAGTAAGTATGTAACTACTAGCATACAGCCATTGATATCAAGGTCTATATGTGCGTTCAAATCCCTTGTCATTTTCTGCATATTTTAGATCAGGCTTTATGTCGTATTTGTATAATATTAAGTGGGTATTGATATATTTTACCATGCATGAACATGTTGAGAATTGGACCTTATTTAGGGTCTTATTGGTAAAAAAGGGAATATTGAAGAAGTCCAGGGGTTTATTTGTACAACATTGTAATACCCTGTTTAAGTTCATGCTATGAATGCACAGATAAGTTTTTTGAACGATTCTTTCTATTTGGTATCTGAAAAAAAATCCTAGTAGTCTCGGATGTCAGGATTGGCATACGCGTACAAAGACGCAAAGCTCCCATCTGCCGCTCAACAAGCTCCCATTTGTCGCAGGGGATCGCAACGAACAATGACTCAAAACCAACATTCGCGGCTTGCAGGTCTCTGTCGCATCACCGATCAATGCAATACTAGCTTAGAAAGAGCCAAGATCGCGGCGTGTTGGTATCTATCGCTTCGTTGAACAGTTGTTATTGGAGCTAATAGGGGTGCCACGCCAAAGCGCATCGTGATACAGTTGCAAGTGGAGCCATTGAGAAGGGACGCCGCGGGACAACACATGGCGATATAGTTGCAATTAGAGCTACTAAGAAGGTTGCGGAGGATTGCAGCTTCCAGAGACCTGTAACTCCTATCCTCCTGTTTCTTTGTGATAGAATCACTGGAGCTAACAGGTAGGGTCACGACATGACCGTAGACCGGAAAAGAAGGCCACAACAAGATCACATGATCATAGCGTACTAATGCGATGGATTGAATTCGTGTATGATCTATGTGATCTAAACTTGTGATTGAGGATGTCAGAAGACAGAGATATTGTGGGAGGTAAAGGATTGGAGCTTTTGAGGAAGATAGTGCCGACACAAAAAAGAAAGAAAGGTTGTTTGGGGGGGTCGCCTGTAAGAAGCTGTCGGCAGCCGGAATTGAAATCCCATCGCCCGCTTCGGAAGGACGTTTTAATTACGTGTATATATATATATA